TTAAGGGTATTGCTCTTTCAAATAAGAATTATATCCCTTCCCCATGAAATTTTCCCTCAGTCCCCACGTTTCTAGTATTGCAGATAATGAAAACTGATGATTGCTTGCATCTAAAATTCTCAATGTCACTGTGTTTGCATTTCCTTGGGAATTTCCCTTACCCGTCCTTTCAGTATAATACTCTTGCTGGCTGTTTTCCTTACAATTATGACACCAAGGTTTGAAAGTATTAGACTAAAATGTGATGTTACCAATGACCTCATCATACTTACCTTTTGTAGCATCTTAGGATGCTAAAGGGACAGCCCAGAGACAAATGGGCACATTACCCATCACACATTGTCGCTAGGCTTCCTGTTGAATCCCCACCCCCCAAATAAAGTGGAGGCATCATAGGACACTTCCCTCCTAACATGGAAATATTTCAGCACCACTTTACGGCCATACCATTTTGCCACAGAGACTAGCAAAACGGCATGGTGTGTGTGTGCGTGTGATGGAGGTCGCTAAATTGAATGTTTTTCAAGGAAAACTCTCCCTTTCCTAATAGCCAAGGAAGGGAAATCCCACAGCTTGGATTACTTCTCCCACTTGCTCCATTGGGCAAAAAAAAGAAATACCCTTGTAGAGAAGAAGAGCAGGGTCTAAAGCACTTCTGAGAGCAAGGCACCATGGGAGTCCTTTCTGCTTTAAAACAGTTCTTCGAGTAAAGAAATTCCTCCTGGTACTGAAGTGGAATTTCTTTGAATGAGAGATTGCCAATGAAAACAACATGCTATAGGACATACTTCATAAGCAAAAACCTGTCAAAATCACCAATGCCTAAGAAAACCCAATGAAATGTATGGGTCTTCATAAGTTGACACGTGACTTGAGTTTGTATGTGCCTTCAAGTCACCTCTCAATTTATGGTGACCCCATAGATTTCATAGGATTTTCTAGGAAAGGAATACTCAGAGATGGTTTTACTAGTTCCTTCCAATGACTTATAGCCTAAAACATGTGGTGTTCATTAGCGGTCATGCATTCAAAACTAATGAGGTTAACCCTGCTTAGCTTCCAAAATCAGACAGGTATTCTAGGGTATTTAGGCACATCCAGACACACAATCAGTCCCTGAGAGTGGAAATATTACTTTCACCACAACTCCCAGAATCCCCTTCATGTGGGATTCTAGGCATTTACTTTCTGCTGAATAAGTTTCCTGAATTTTGATACTCCATCCTATAGTGTTTTGATATGTTTGCTATTCCAAATACAGGGAGTGCAATGCTAAATTTATAGGTTGAGCCTAGTCAAATATGATTCCCATAATAAGTACAATATTAAGACTCATTGTACCTACAAAAGAAGCTTGTTGGTTACGTTGCCATTTTTGTCAAAAAAAATGTGTCTATTGAAAGGACCTATATGAAGAAAAGTGTTTCACCTCATATATCATTGCATAATGTCCATTATACTATTGCTCATTTTTTACCCATAATTTCCCCTCATTTCACTGCATAAGCTTCTTTTTTACAAGAAAAAGTCTCTGATAATCAAAAAGTACAATATTTTCAGGAAAAGCTGGAGTCAGCTGAAACACATGTACTCCAGTCTTCCAAAAGGCAGAATTTGGCAATACAGGAGGAAACTCATTTAGGGCTGCCTAGTGAGAGACATTAACAAATCCACTAATAAGTTATGGGGATTGTAGGAACATTTACTTTGTTAGTTGATGTGAAAAGTAGTAATCATGAGAAGCAAGCTGTATTTGTGCTGACTCTGATATAATACACCTGTTAATCCTTCTGGTCAGAGGGATAGAGTACATATACTAATAAGTGCAATGAAACACAGCAGTCTGGTAGCAGAGCACTGCACTTTTAACATACATTTATTGGGGTAAAAGACATCATAGTAATGCAATTGGGCTTGTGTAGTGTCTGGAACAGTTCTTATTTTGTGTTGGGCCAAGTAAGGAAAACTTTTGCTCTACCAAACCCATTAATTTCAACAAGAGGACTGCTGTAGTAAAGCAATCATGAGTTTTCCTTCACTAAATTTAAGCCCAAATTATTTCGGATGGCTCAAATCCTATATTCTTGAGCCTGTGAATATTGGAATGAGATACCACATCTGATGTACAATATAGAATTAAGTTAACATATTGAACAGTAAGCTGCCAGCTCTTTTTGAGTTACCTGTACTCACAATTCATTTTATGGCACCTCCCATTGAATCAAATCAAATGTAGGCTATTGCACAAAATGCCTTAACTAGTTTCAGCTATTCATCTATGATGACTTCATGGTCCATAATAGAACTGCAATCAAGTAGTAAGAGATCCACTAACGATTTAGGCGTACATGTTAATAACATTTGAGACTGTTGAGGACAATAGCTAGCAAGGCAATTGGACGATCATGGAACACAAGTGCTAAAGAAATACTGAAGAGAAAGAATAAGTAGATTGCAATGAATTTGCATGGATTCATTGTGCCCAGATGTGGGGCAGATACCTATATTTCCATGAAGTGAGAATGCGAACCTGGGGCAAATAATGGTGACAAGCAGTGGAATTTTGGATCTCCCTGACAGACTGTATTATACCGGTATAATAACGGTATAATACCCGACGATATTATACTATATGAACACAAACAAATTATTGTGTTCATATAGTATCCATAGAAATGTGACATTTCTAATCTCCTAAAATATGTTAGAGGTTTCTAAGGTCAACTTTGATGTAAAACATTAAAGAATAAACATGCATGCAGAAACCAAGTCTTGCTGAAGTAGAATTAGCATGGCCTCTACAGAACGCTTCATTTTTCACTAACTGTTCTTTCGATAGTATTAACAGCCTTATGATTGCTCAGGTAGACATCATTTATTTAAGATTTTAAAAAGATTTTGTAGAAATGATTGCTAACTTGGGCAGCTTTAAAGGAAAGAAGGTACAAATTCATAAAGGATGTAGTTACCTGTATATTTTATTGATACTAGCAGTATTAACATCTAGTATCAGAAGCAAAAGCAATATGCCTTTGAGGGTCCATCTGCACAGTAGAATTAATGCAGTTTGACACCACTTTAATTGCCTTTATTCAATGCTGTGGAATTTTGACAACTATAGTTTTACAAGATTTTAGCTTTCTCTGCTAAAGAGTGTTGGTGCCTCAACTAACTACAATTCCTGGGATTCCATAATCTGAGCACTGAGTTAAAATGATGTCAATCTGCAGTAATTCCACAGTGTAGATGCATGTTTAACTATCCTCTTGTCCGATTCCAGGTTCAGACGGTGTTGCCAGATGTCTATAACCTGCATCCGTCCACCTACCCAAGATCTGAGTTAGAGAGCTCCTCCCTTCCTGCCCACCCTCCCTCCCGCTCTCTCTCTCTCTCTCTCTCTCTCTCTTTCGACTTCCTTCTTATATCCAAAAGTGCTGGTTACCATCCCAGCCTAAATAGGCTGAAGCAATTGCAAAATGAGATCACCGTGTGAGTAAGTCTGGAAGTTGCAATAATAGAAGAGTAATTATGAAGTAGTGTCCTCATAAATATGCCAAATGTAACCCCTTAGAAACACTAAAAAATAACAATCTCTATTTATTTTGATCAGCCAGAAAGGATTTTTTTAAGTGATACTTTTAGTTAGGCTTAGAAATCAGATTTGGGGGAAGAAAAGTCAGACACTGAATGCATATCCTCAAGGTTCTCTATATTCAAAACAAGAGTCTTCTACTTACAATGGAACCTCTACTTAAGAGCATCCCAGCTTAGGAGTGTTTTAAGAGTTGTCGCTCAGCCAATATTTCATTTTGACATAAGTGCAGCATTTCGAGTTAAGAGCTAGTGCGAGAGGAGGCACTAGCATGAGAGTACGGGGCTTTAGGGCTTCAAGGGAGCAGCCTCCATGCCTCATGCTCTTGTCTGTTTTGATAGATTGATGTCTGCTTTGCTTTTGTCCACTTTGATGAACTTAGAGTTAGTTGATTTTGTGTGGTCTTTATTCGTGGTATGTTTGGCTTCATGAAGAGGAAGAGGGAGCAAGAGAGAGAGGGAGGCCGGAATGAGTTTAGTATGAAGAAAATGATGCTTCTACCTCTTTACTTTGTGCTTTGTGCTTCTGCCATTTTAAAGTCAATCTTTCTTTTGTATTGTTTTATGTGAATGTGCATTAATACATTATTTGTTACTTTAAAACTTGTAACAAAAATAGGGGGGGTGTCAGGGGGTTGAAAAGGATTAACAGCATTTCAATGGGGAAATTGCTTTGAGATAAGAGTATTTTGAGTTAAAAGCTCGATCATAGGATAAATTAAGCTCTTAAGTTAAGGTATTACTGTATGTTGCTCGGCGGTATTGCAGACATGGGTGCAAACCTTAAAGTCCTTAATGGAAGATACAAAATAGAAGGACATGTGTATAGAAATTATATTCAAAGAAACTGACTCTACCTAAATACATAATTGAAAACCTTATTGCGTTATTCAGGGTCTTTATCTCAGGCAGCTGCAATTCCTCTCCCCTTCACTTCTTCTGTTTTTGAACTGATCTAATAAGTACAACCCCTTCTATAGGGTCTTTCCATCCACTAGGGCAAACCAATAATCCATATGGTTTACAGAGTTGCAGTGCTTGGTCACAATATGGAGCCTTTCAGCCCTGAGCCCTTCCATCAAAGTGAGCAGTGGAAGCCATGACAGGATCACTCTACCGTGCGAGAAGTCAATGGATTGGGCTCATGGCTATTTCTTCTTCTCAGCCTGACTGAAAAGTGTCTATGTGTGTTGGTGGTATTCGTGTGCATTGCATTGCACTCATGAGTGTTTCTCTGTGTTTGCTCCAGTCAAAACCTCTAGCCTCACTGACACCCTCAACAGGATCCACTGGATAAGATTAATGCTAATAGGATGATAATAAAAGTTGGCCATGAGAAAGGTATTTCCAAGGCAAAGAAAAATTCAGGATTTCAGGAGCCTCATTTTCCTTTGTGTGTGTTATTCCAGGTCCCGATTATCATACCGTGCCACCGAGTGATTTGCAGCGGTGGACAGACTGGCAACTACACGGGAGGAAGTCATCTGAAAGAGTGGCTTTTGTCACATGAGAAGCTTCAGAAGGAAAAGTTAGCATATTGATGCAGTTCAGACACAGCTGTTATACAGCCAAAACACATAACCAAAGATCCTTGGCTTATAACAAGCTTTCAGAACGCACAGTAGAATTCAGGAAAATGGTAAATATTTGAGTGACATATAAATATAATACAACATCCGAAGCGAAATGTGTGGTGGCACTACTATATTAAAAAAGCTGAATGTGTCCTAGGGGATCCAGCTTGTATGCCCTTTCTTGTTTTTACATTTTACAGCAGAATGACTGTACAGCGGGCTGCGCCTGTTGTGCATGTATTTTGTTCCCATCTCTAGTGCTGTTTTGTTCTATTTTTAATGTCCATTAAAGCACGGATAAGGCAGTGGGAGGGGCATGGCAAATGTTAGATGCAACTGCCCCTCTAAGGAAGCATCTGGCTCACAGAGGGGACAGCCGGGAATCCGCAGCCTTTGCGTGTATTCGGAGAGCAAAATTAAATGCATCAGCTTCCACACACACCTCCCCCTGTTCCTGCCTGGATTTGTATTTGTCCAGATTGAAAAGCTTGTCCCTCTGCCAGGCTTGGTGCCCAAGATTCTCCTGTTTTCTTTGATGTTTGAACTGTTGAAATGATGTTTTACGTAAACAGTTGTTAATGAAACACACTGAAAACCCATTCAAAAGGAAGCGGCTATTGAATTGCCTATTCACAGCTTTTTTTTTTTCCTTTTCAGATCATTGTAGATGGCTTAGAAGATAGGAATAAAAATATTTTGCCTCCATTAGCATTGCTTCATGCGAGCAGAAAAATAGATGCTGATAGAGTAGTTTAATGACAGAAGAAATGTTTTTATAAAATTATTCAACTGAATTACAGGCACCTATTGCCAGAATATAGAAATATGGCTCTTTCTCTTTCTGCTGTGCTTATGGCTTTTGCTTAGCATTGGCTTTATTTAGTTTTCACATTTACACATATGTTATACACTACTTTCTTTTTGTTGTGGTTGTTGCATTTTTTTGTTTTTGTTTTGCTATTCAGAAAAAATATGCATAGTTAGCCAAAAGATGTTGGATATAAAAATTCTGGTTATTTAAAAACAGAACACAGTAAAAGCAAAATATTACAAACCACCCGAATTTCCAATATGGGGATCATAAATTATGACATGAAAATAACAATTGATCTGTTTCCATCACATTCAGCTAGATGTTGCCTTAGAAATCTTACTGCTAAGAAAGATTATTGTGCTATGTTATTCTATGATTATATTGTTACTTAGACACTGGAATTATTTTATTAAAACGTGTTATGCATATACACATTGACTTTGTGTATAAATATAAAACAGTGTCTCATATGCTGGGAAAAGATGCCATACCCCTCTGTACAATATAAGACTGTATTTTGTCAAGGGTTTCTGGTGGCAGTCTAAACCACGAAAGCAAGGCTCAAGTGGTTTGTACATGTCAGCAAAAGTTCAAGAAAAAATATAGCTTTATAATATGTACAGTTTTGATTGTGCTCTGTTTTTCCATAGGTGTTAGAATACCAATCAAGATCACAGATAACCTCTTCAAGGTTTCCCCTCTTTTGCCAATATTTCACTTTCAGGTGTTTCTTTAGGCATTTGCTCGTCTCTGAAATGATTCGTACTCTTTCTAAGCATATAAACAATATACACTACTATGGCTCCATCAGGGCACTTGGAGAAGGTATAAATATTCAGGAAATAATGAAGGCAACTGTAACCCAGATGACAATGGATTATCAGTCATGTCAATATTTCATGTTTTGTATGTGGGTTCACAGAAATATCCTTGCTGAAAATGTTAGGGTGAGGGTTTTTCCTTAGATGTCTTCAGAGTTTTTCTACTAAAGGCAATCCCAACAATATAATCAGAGTTTCCACTTGCTTAAGAGATGGTGTGTCTGAGTCTACAAACACAACTATGCCTTGATGACTGAGCAATATCAGATGATGCCTATATCCACATTTTAAAACTAAAGGTCAGGTTTTCATACACTACTCTTGTCTCAATTTTGATAGTCCTCATAGCACTTGGCTAGTTTAATGAAGCCATGTCTGCTTGATATAGGTAATATTGTTTTCTCATGTACACACATGTTATAGAAGTGACACATCCTGATGTAATTCCATCTTGCGTGACAAAAAATGCCATAATCAAAAAACATTTCTAATTTATTTCAAAGTGGCAAAGTCATGCTGGGTACAACAATTACCAAAATGATCAAAAAGCAACCAAAAGCATTCGGAATAATGATTGAAATTAATTTGCTATGGCAAAGGTATTGATCTTGTTGTCTGACTAGCATATTTTCATGAGCTGGCATCTCAATGTTTGTTTTTGTGTTGTAGGCCAAGCTGCATATTCTTTTGTCGGCCTGTGTTCCAACAGAGGGCACTATAGCTCAGAAGAATTTAGATTCATGTGCTCTACAATATGTTTAGGAGATGCTCATTCACTACTTTTTTTCCCTGCTGTTTAAGAATGAATTTGAAAATGAACAGCCGAGCTGAAATCTCGGAGCTGCCTTATTTGCAGTGCTTCAGACTGTCTGCCTTAGGAATTAGCTGTCTCGTAGTATTACAGGGCTACGATCTCCGTCCCACATATGCATCGTGAGAGGTGCTGTAGCTCCATAGGAAGATGAAGAATGGCCTTCCTTTGCCAGCGATTTCCGAGATTGCTAATGATGCCCAAACTACAACTTGGCGTGACCACTAATGAAGAGGGCTGTGATAGTAGAATCTCTAGGGGTTTCGCATGGAAAGAGACAAATCCACAACGCTGCTTATGTGTGATCTTAGCATTCTTTATGTGTGCTGATAATGTTCCTGCTCTTGTAAGATGTCTTAATAAGTGTGCAGTATCCTTAATTTGGCATGACTGGGCTGCTCACCATAACAAAATGCTTAGCGCAACGTAAGTGAGAGCTGAAGCACCCACAACAACATGACGTTGAGGGCACCTTTGTAATCTTTGTCACTCATTGATCTGCATTTGAAACACATACTGCTTTGTATGCCATTGTACTTGTGCTTTCTGAAAGATGAACAGCACTGCAACAGCCTCCCCCTCCAAAATACCCACCTGGCCTATCTTTGTGTGGTGCCACTTGTCAGTGTAAAATGTACATTCTGTTCTCTGTCTATACCCTGTCATAAGTCTTGATATTTAACCTGATATATACACCCTGAGGTTTGTACCCACAGGAGACTGGCATCAGTTTAGGAAGCTCTAGCTGTGACTCATAAGAAGGAAAACACAATCTAATGGACTAGACCTGAGTTAGCCTAGTTAGGGGGTCCAAGTATGCCTTATGAAAATACGTGCGTGAAAGTAAATGTATTTATGTATTTCAATGCATATGTATAAATGTGTATGAGATGTGTGTGCGTGCGCAGACACACACACACTTGCACAAACTATATATACACACACACACACACACATACACACACATACATACATACATACATACCCACAAAATGAATTAAAGAAAACTCTGGAAACAAGAGAGCTATGTTCTTTTTGCTTGGAATAGGGTTCCACTGACCTATCAAGTTTCCTTCCATTCAGCCTTGCAGTGCTTTGAACTGCTGACATTGAGACACTGTGCAGCCAGGCACGACAGCTGGCTCGGCAGCATCTAATACCAACACATGCTGTTTTAGCCCATTTCCAGAGACTAAGATAATGAAAGATTCAAAAATAATATTTGTTTTGGTGGAACTACATTTATAATGAAATAGATGCCCTTGACCATGGAAGAAACTGAATTTTGCAACGGGTCGTTCTCTCCTTCTCCCCCTGCAACCCCCCCCCCCCAATTCAACTCATGTAAAATGTGTATTACACAAAACCTCTACTGAGGACAAATGTTTTAGCCAGGGATACAATCACTCTGCATCAAAATTGCAGTATATTGTAACGCTGTGGAGCACACAAAGCAGTCCTTGCGAAATTCATTCTCTCTCCTTCTGCTTGACCTATGGTACAATATTTTATTTGGAAGACAAAATACAGTTCTGAGTTAGTAGCAATTCTTTATATCTGCTTGTTGGTAAAGGGTCATTCAGAAGTACCTCAAAATTCATGCAACCCTCATTATCAGGACTTGGGTTCACATGTCTAGGATGCTACCCCCTATTAAATATGAGTAGATTTGAATGAGAATGAGAAACAACTTGGAACTGGTTGGGAATTCTAGGCAATACAAAAAAGGTGGAATATAAATGCAATAAATATGTGCCTCAGATATTTAACCAGTTACAGCATTTAGAGACCTTCTGTACTGAGACCAAAATCTTGCTATCTGTATAGCTTGGTTAAATTAAGTAGTTCAATGGGAACTCATCTGAGATGCCAACTTATCTGTCCAAACATATCTCTCTCTATGAACCAGCTAGAGTGTTAAAATCTGCCAAGGAGTCCCTGCTCTCGGTCCCACCCCCTTCTCAAGTGTGATTGGTAGGGATGAGAGACATGGCCTTCTCTGTGGTGGCCTCTCAGCTATGGGACTCCCTCCCCAATGATATTAAATTGGCCTCCTCTCTCCTTGTCTTTAGAAAAAAAGTTAAGACCTGGCTCTGAGATCAGGCATTCAGAAATAGTTAAACACAGAATTGATATGCTGCAACATGAAGGACGACCATAGTTTTAGGTATATGGTTTTGACAGTTTTTTTAATAGTTTATGTAATTACGTGTTTTTGTTGATGTTTAATGTGTTGTGTTTTATATACTTTGTATTGCAATGTAGCATTGAAGTGGCCAATCTGAGCTGCTCTGAGTCACATCGGGTGAGAAGAGCAGGGTATAAATATAGGAAATTAATTAATTAATGGGCTAAGCCATAAATGTTTTGTTTCATTCATGGGGGAGATGGGAGAAGGGGGAAAATTCCGAAAATTCCCTCTCTTTACCTCTGCCTCTTGTTAAAGGTATACTTTGCATAGCAAAGAATAATACATTCCAGGAGTGTCAATAGGATAAAAGTATAAGCACACTATAATCAAAACGAAGATTGGAAGTGCGCTTTCTGATAAATATCACGGATCATTACTTTTCATAGTGTTTTTCACAACATATTACAAACCATAACCTAACAGAACTTCAGACAAGGGCAGAACTTTCATGCTTTATATTTGCATGGAAA